TATTACTTGTTTGTAATCTATTGTTACAGCAAGTATATGTTATCATGACTGGCCTTTAATTGGTTAGAATTTGTATACAAGATTAACCAAGGGCTAGAGGAAATATGAATAGGCAACAATGTTGAGAGAGAATTCACTGGAATTATTTGTGTGTACATACAGTATATTTGGTGGTTTGTGTGCCACCAAATATGAACTTCAATTTTAATCTCTGTAAAATAAATCATGTTTTATCAACATTATGAAGTATTATTGATGTGTCATATGAAACCCCATTATTCCAGGTTTTATTATTATTATAAGTTTCAAGGGGGAAGAGGCAGTAAGATATTCTTGTGCTTGACCTCTTTAGGGAGCGACCAAAGGTCTAAACTTGTAAAAGAACGTTTCATCACATAATGTATAAGATAAGGGCAATCAACATTGATCACATGCTATTCCTGTTAACAACAGTAAATGAGGTAGATAACCGCTGCTAAAAGTGCCATATATTGCGTAATAAAATGTCCTGAACCAGCTAACCTCTAAAAGTACTATACGTTTATAGAATTTAGTTACGTTCTCAAACATTTGCCCTCAGTTACATAGAGCATTATAAAGGACCTTGATATTTTTTTAATGTTTTTAGGCCTCTTGATTTTTTTATATTTTTTAGGTCAGGTTAAATAAATGCCTAATTATTTTTTGATTTTGTATCTGTTTTGCCCACCTGAACTGTGGTTCCTGGGTATGGCCTTAATTAGCAACTAAATATTTTTTTTTCTTTAGAGTTGCCATGACAATGTCAGAGGAGGGAGACCAATAACAGGGTCTCCATTTATCAACATCTGTGTGCGTTATACATATGTTTGGGGTTTTTTTTGGTTTGGTTTTCAATTCTTATTATAGATTCACAGTAGTAACATGATTTAATATGTTTAACAGACCACGCGCTCCTTGATCCTTAATGATTAGATAGGAGAAAGATTATTAAAAAAACATTCAGTCTGACTTTCATTTTTAAAATGAAGAGGCATTTTATGTCTTTTTGTCTTAAACAAGTAATTGTTTTTGTAATAGTTTATTTTAAACATTTAACAATAAGTAGAGAAACTGTGGTGTACTCTCCGAGATGGTGTTCTTGGCCATGGCATAGAAGCCAGCATATTTTGGGAACAGCTCAGAACTTAAAAATATGTGTACAGGAGAGGCATAAGATAAAACGTTGATTGGAAGTGTTGAAGTGTTTCTGAACCTTGTATATAACGTTTGAGTAATATTTTAATAATACTACTGTTTGTATTTTATTTATTTAACTTTATTTAAAAAGCAGGACAATGCTATGCTTTAACAATGATATTTTTTGAGTTCACCTAGGTGGAGAATAGCAATTGAAACAACCCTTACATATGTAATATAGAACAAGAACTAACATGATTTTTAAGTCTTGAGGTTTTTCTTAGGAAGCAGTGGTTGAAAGTCTGCATAGGGCTGTTCAGCACTCTTCTGCATTTCAAAAGAGAAAAGACTGTTCATATCCTACCAGACTGCTGAAAAGCAAAAACATCACGTGTGTTTTTCTTCTGTTATTGATTAGGAAATGCAAAAGAACAATGTCACATGTTTTCTCTTAAGTAATTGCATTCTGTTTCATATATTTTATGTACTGTTTGCAAGTAGTGTGGAATGCTGAACTACATGTGTAATAGGTAATGTTTGTGAATAGACCAGAAAAAGCACATTTCTGCAGTAGATCATTGGGGTCCTGGAAGACACTGGCGTCTGTTTCAGATATTGCCTTGCAGACCTGCATATCCTTCTCCTGTCTGTACAACCTAAAGATGTTGTGAGATCTTCTCATCATTGGGCAAAGAATTGCACTGCTATAATTATCTGTTTGCCATCCATATTATCACCCAATGACATCAGCGATCCACTGACAGTGAGGCTACAACCTGATGGAGGTCACAGCTGAGGTCACTATGCCACCCTGAGGAAATAAGAATACGCATTTTAGTGTGTGTGTGAGTTAAGTTTGTGTATCCTCTAGCAATTACAACATTGGTATCATAATTTGGATCCTAAACACCCCTTTGCAGCATTACAGTAAATCTGCTACTGTCCAAATTCTTAGGCATCAGATCACAAACCTAAAACAGTTAAAGGAGAACTATGAGATGAGTGATTTCCACTCACCTCATAGTTCTAGCCGACCTGTGACAATGAGACTGTCACAGGTCGGCTCAGTAGATCGGCAGGTGAGCGAACACATACCAGGTAAGCTCACCTCTCGATCCTGTCACGGCTCTCTGCCGTGACAGGGGGAAGGGCTGGATTCCCCGCTCCGATCTGCCAGCGCTGACTGGCGGAACGGACGGGGAGGGGGCGGGTACAGCTGGCTCTGCCTCTAGATAGGCAGAGCCAGCTGTCACTCACGCAGCTGGGCGGATCCCGTCATCTACGTCGGGATCCGCTCCGGCTGCGGCGTCTCAGTATACCGCAAGCTGTAGCTCGCGGTATACTGAGCTTAGGGTAACGGGAGGATGCTAGTTTGTGTCCTCCCGTTACCCTAAGGAGAACTATGGGGAAAAACACTGACCCCCATAGTTCTTCTTTAATGACTGGGCTTTGTATAAAATCAAATATACTTGTGTTACCCTTGCTGCTGCACTTATGTGAAACCCTGTATGCTATATATAGGAATGCTAAGTGCTTCTAAAGAATTCCTTCTCTTATTCTCTGCTTACAAAGCAGCCAATAATATTATCTTTTCATTCTCCCATGATGCCAAGGAAACATAGGCAGGGGAATATTGCTTTGTGCTATTCTAAATTCCATTCAGGTTACAAAAATTATATCTGGGTGACCGCCCCTCATATATTAAGGGTATATTCCTTGTTTAGTCTTGAAGGCTTGTAATCAAGGAAATTAATTACCTTAATCATTGTTCCTGTGGGCCCCTACCTACCAGTTGCAGTTCCTACCCTCCAATGAGTCTCACAAATTCAGATCCATTCTCTGGCCGTGTGACCACCCCCTTATTGATGTCCTCACATAAACGGCTGTGCGAAAGGGCTGGAGACGCTGTCACTGATCCCGGAGAATGAGGGAGCTAAGAGGGCCTTCTCTTAGCTCTGCCCCCACTCAGTACTTGGTTTGGGCCCCTTTTGCAGCACTTACTGCAATTACTTTTGCACGATATTCTAATTATTCGAGTTTCACCTGTATGTAACTTAATATATGGGAAGGGCCACCCAGATAAAATGTTTGGGTAATGATGATTGGAGTTCAGCTTTAAGCCAAATTAGTCTTATGAATTAAATTAGAGCAATGCTACATGTATCTGTATATCTGGACAACCCTATAGACCACTTTGTGCACAGCAAACTATTCTATATATCACAGCAGACGGTAATGCAATCTGACAATCAGGATATGTTCCAGAAAATATGTTAATATCAAAAGATTTTACATCAACCCCCTCAACATAATATCAAAAATTTGTTGTAATGGAGGTTTAAGCCCAACTCCAGGCACAGATGTTATTTTTTTTATCTTTGATTTTCATATAAAATCTCAGCTGATATCTACAGTGGGGGACCACACATCTGACTCACTGCTGCTTTGGAATGCAAAAATTCTCTTGTATTAAAAGGGGTATAGACTCCAGAAATGAGAACATCTGGAATATGCAGTTCAGTTTTGGGCACCAGTTCACAAAAAGGATGTTGCAGAACTGGAGAAGATGCAGAAAAGGGCAACTAAACTCATAAGAGGCATGGAGGAGCTCAGCTATGAGGAAGGATTAACTGACCTGAATTTGTTCTCTCTGGAGAAGAGGCGATTAAGGGGGGGGCAGATCACCATGTATAAATACATAAATGGTCCATATAGTGAGCTTGGTGCCAAATTATTCACTTTAAGGTCACTGCAAAGGCCAGGAGGGCACTCTTTGCATCTGGAGGACAAGATATTTACCCTTTGCATACAGAAAGGATTCTTCACAGTTAGAGCTGTGAAAATGTGGCATAGACTCCCTTAGGAGCTAGTTCTAGCTAGCTCAGTTAACTGTTTAAAAAAAAAAATCTGGATGTATTCCTAAATACACAGAATATTACTGGATATTGAGTTCTTATAGGTATATTAAGCATCAGAAATTGTTGATCCAGGGAATATCTGATTGCCTTATGGGATCAGGAAGGAATTTTTCTCCCTTGTTGGAGCTAATTGAGCTATGCCTAATATGTTCTGTATCAACAGTGGGTAATTGGGGCATAGCGTTCTGTTTTAGGTTTTTCTTCTTTTTTTACTTTCTCCTTTTATCCCTATAGGTTGAACTCAATGGACATTTGTCTTTTGACAACCTGACTAACTATGTAACTATATGTTTATGAAGGACACTAGTTGTGGTGTTATGCCTATGTCCCCCTCACTCTGCTGTGGAATTAACAAAGCACAGCAAATGATTTAGGTCTGTGCTGTGCTTTGTAAAAAGGAACAAGCCCCCCTATACAACAGCATAAAGGAAGTACAGGTCCTCTTCATGGAGATATCAGGGGTCTAATAGACCCTTAATGTCATCTAAGGACCCCACAGAAGCTGATAAAGCATAGATCACAAGCTTCTTCTTCAGCCACAGCAGTTCATTAAATGACAGCCTGAAACTGGAAGTGATTAAATCCTCTTCATTTCACGGTTCAGTAACTGGAGGGGAGATCATACACTGGAAGTGTGCTGAGCTTCCTCTGATGCAGCCATGAACACCCTCTGCGCTGGTCCTGGACCGGCACAAGGGGCAGCGGGGTGCACTCTTTTTAGCATAATGCAACTGATCAGGTGATTCTACAACTACCCAATCACTGTATGTGACAGCCGGGTGCCAGATGCAAAAAACAGAGCAGCCATGATCTTAGTATTAACACTCTCGTACAGGACGTATACATACCTATGGCATTACTGAAGTTGCTAAGTTTTTTAGGTGTTGTTCTTTATATGTGGGAGCAATGTTGTCATTTGCTTACCTAGTTCTTCTTGACAGAAGCTGTCCGGTGGGTTGACATACTTCATGGAGCTCACATCTAATTTCCAGTTGTGCTTAGTACAACGTAAAATGCTAAAAGAATAGAAAAGCATGCACTGAGTTCATAACATAAATAGCCAAAAGAATCAAAGTGACATAAAACAGATAAGATAGGCACTACAAATTTTTATTAAACATGACTTTCAAAATCTAAAAGTGTAGATATTTTACATATATTTATACATATACTGTATGTGAGAACTATTAAGCGCTAACAGGAAGAAACTATAAGGCCTAAACTTATTATCTATACATAATGCAACATGGGCACACTGGAAGCCATTTTGTTCCTTTCATTCTATGCATATAAAGGTGAATTTAAGTTCATGCTTTAGAGACAAAAGAGTCTAATATCAGCCATTTTCAGACCCTTACAGCACAGATTCCCAGGTTATACATTTTGGGGGTCTAGTTATACCAGACAACGACAAGATAAGGACTGACACTGGTACCAGACTGTAAAATAAATGAAGATGCAATGTCTCATTCTTAACAAAGGACAATTAACTATTTACCATCATATTTTTTTTTCCGCCTTCTCGACTTATGAATAGAGTTCACATTAAAAGTTACCTAATACATAGTATTCTTACTTAATATGATTGGTATAACTAATAATTAGTGATGGCCCGAACAACCCCCCCTGTTCGGTTAGAATTCGAACTTTAGAACATGGGAAAAGTTTGAACTCGAACTCAATGCAAGTCTATGGGGCCAGAACTTTGAAAACAATTGACCCCATTTTGAAGGCTTATATGCAATTTACTGGCCATAAAAAGTGTATGGGAATTCGGGTACAGCCCCAGGGGACATTTTTTTTTTAAATACCGTTTTTAAAAAGAGCAGGGAGTTTAACATCACGTAACAACTTGAAGTCCGCGGTGTTAAACACCCTTCCTGGCCAGGCCATTTTTCAGTATTTAGCGCTGCGGTATTTTGACTGACATTTATTCCGTCAATAAACGCTGTACTGAAATGAATTTTATACATTTTTTTAGGGACAGATAGAGCTTTCTTTTGGTTGTATTTAATCACCACTGGGGTTTTTATTTTTTAATATAGTAGGGAAAAATTACAGAACATTTAAAAAATAAAACCGCTTTCCCCTATATTAAATTCTAAAACATTTATTATTACCCAATCTTTTGGTAAAATATAAAAGGCGTGGGTAAAAATACACCAAACATGTCAAGCACACGCGCGAAACCTCAAAAAACTACATTACCCAAAATTGGGCATAGGCGACACTTTAAAAGCTTTTACCGCTCATCAGTTTAGTGTTATCGTTTTTCCACAATGGGCGGATGGCAATCAGTTAAACAAAAGTGAAACAATAAAAATAAAAAATTCCTTTAAATATCGTGCCCGGGGGGTCCCCTTAAACTGCCTGTAAAGTAGCTCATCTGTACAATTTATATAACCTGCTGCACCAAAAAGGAAATTTGTAAAGAAAACAAATGATATTTAAAAAAAAAAAAGCATGCGGTTCCCCCTCTCAAACAATAGCAGACCCTTTAGGTCTGGTAGGAATCTTAGGAAAGACCCTATTTA